CCAAAAATGTGAAATCATTCGATTTTGTTAATTTTACCAAAGTATGATAAAGGAAATATTCAGAAATTAGGTAAAAAATTATCAAATTTTGCTACATTATGCGGGGTGCATAAAACCACGGAGACGGGTAAGTAGGCCTACTACATCGTTTGAGATGGCGAGACTTGTGGGGAATATGACTGAATACTGAATGAAAAGTGTGTACTGGGCGCTAGATCTACCGTAGATCTATGGAAGGCCTATTACATGTATTCCTTGTCCCAATAGTGATAATATAATGCTGTTCGATTACTGATTAGGCCTTCGAATAGTTGTAAAGTACACATGAAAGCATGTTGTAGGCTCTATAGAGTATAATAGAGTATGGATATAAGCAGGCCTATTATGGTGTCATTGTTTCCCTACAGCTTAAATCACGTCCAGCAAACCCTCTCTGTCTCTGTGAAACTAAGGAGACACATTATATTATTAAAATAGTCCAACCTCGTTATACCGCCAGCCACGCTAAATAATAATAATAATAATAATAATACAAGTAATAATAATAATAATAACAATAATAATAATAATAACAATAATAATAATAATAACAATAATAATAATAATAACAATAATAATAATAATAACAATAATAATAACAATAATAATAATAATAACAATAATAATAATCATAACAGATTGCATTTATATAGCGGTCTATCTCATACTAGTCCGCTTTACACCAATCACATAATCTTTCACACTAGAAAAAAACATTTCACAGAAACGAGAAAAACATAAAAAAGAACTTTCACAACCATACATTAACTATACACTAAAGGACAGCAGTTACCCCCCCCCCCCCCCCCCCCCTCCAAAAATATTTAAAGAAAAAAGAAAAAAAATCTACATTAAAAAAATTAGCACTTACTAACACATTATAACTTATAACCATCTCCGCTATAACCAACAATTAAACAAATGAGACTTGAGCAATCGCATAAACCTATCAACATTTGTTGAATTTCTGAGATCTTGAGGCAAGGTGTTCTAGATTTTTTTGGGGGAAAAAGAGAAACTTTTCTCATCAACAGATCATAATTTCATTTTAATATTAGGGGCCCCTAAATTTTGTTGCATCTGTGGAAGACCGTAACTGACTAGATAGAACATAGATCTACAGTGTTTAAAGCAGGATACGACTTAATCGTTAAGACATTTAAAACAGATGGTAGAACTTTAAATTTGATTCTTTTATCAACTGGAACTGGAAGCCAATGCAGAGCTTTTAACTTTTTTGATACGGGATCTTTGTTCTTTTTCTTCAGCCCTAGTCTTGCGCGGTGTTATTTTGAGCCACTTGCAGTTTCCTCCAGTGGCATCGCGTGGGTTGCAGACAAGCATAATTGGAAAGTGAGCAAATGGGCAATAGGCTTACTAGCTACTATTACGATTTCTAGAGAAAGTCAATAATTAGAATCTGCAGGATATCCCGTAATCTACATCTATAAATATTCACAACTGTTTCTAGATCCAGATGAAACCCCATAAAAGCTGCAATAAAGTGAAACAATAATAACAGCTCACCATGCTCACAATCTGAGAAGATTTAAAGCTTTCTAATTACTTCGTGAAGCACCAGGACATGCTACACAATCGAAGGAGACAACAGTTTCGACCTATTCTACACTTGGTTACCGTAGACCCTACTACTACACTACATGTTATTTACTATCATTGACTACATGTACTAGTGCTAGTGTAGTAGATAGACTAGTGGAAACTTGGATCAAATTTTTAGCAATTGCACCAAAATTAATGGATGCTGCGGAGAGCAGCTTCATGCACCTTTCTTCTTGTGCGGGAAGAACAATGGCTAGTTTTCTCTACAGTGACAAAAATGACTTTGGTGCAAAGATTTTGCTTGCTCCCAGCAGACGCAACCTCAAGCGGTGAGACGAGCATAAACCCTCCTGTCTCTAGGCCATTTATCGTTGCGTGGAATGTTGATCTAGAGCTCTGACTGGTTTAGAAAAATTAGAAAAGGGAGGAAGTGTGTGTGTGGGGGGGGGGGGGGGGGGTGAAGGCCAGGGTTAGGTGGAGCACTAATGGCGCCCCCGCCAGTTTTCCTCATTCGTTCACACGAAATACCAGACAGAACAGAATTAACAATGGGCGGTAGATCTAATTTCCTTTTCAGTAGCGCAAGGCTTTAGGGGACTGCAAAGTCCCCGAATAAGCAGCGCCAGAGGACTACGCTGTGCAGTCCCCGAGTGGGTAGCGCTTATGGGGACTGTGCAGTCCCCTATAACAAACTTCCTACATTATATTTTATTTGAGGCACACTGCTTATTGATAAACGCAATAGCTTGGCTAAACTAAAGGATAACGTTTTTGTAAAAAATGATTGTTTGAAACCTCATTTCAGGTGCAGTCTGTTAGTTCTAATAATGGCCCGATGTCTTAAAAATACTGGGATAGTGCTTGGAGCATTATGAATGTCTAAACCGCGAAAATAACCACAGTAGTCTATAGATGAATGGCAATATTATAGTCATTTTTTGGCATGGGTAGTCAGGCGTGTAAGCGGTAGTGTTTTTTAGCTTAGATATACTGTTCATAGCATAGTGTACACAAAAGTCATTAGGGTAGTATTTACATTGTGCAAAAACCACTACGGTAGTCTTTATTGCACGGTAGTGTTCTGATCGTGTTACACCGGAACAGCTGATGCTCAAGGGGGTAGTGATGGGCCGATACCACAATTTAGGTATCGATGTTGATACCTAGTACTTTTTCAAGGTATCGATACCGATACCTCGATACCTAATGCTATTGGTAACATACGCCGGGGCAAAGATAGTACATAACAAGATGGGCCACTTCTCTCTTTGAGCCAATTAAAAAAGTGTCCTCAAAATTTGGTGGCGCCCTCTTCACAAAAGCGCACTCTTTGCGAACAGAGTTACCCTACTTGAGTTTTAAAAAATCAAAGTGAAACTAGCAAGTTTGGGGATAAATTTCGGAAGAACGCTTTTTTAAAATGGTTACGCTGACAAAAAAACCTCTTCCGGAGGAAAGGGTGATGGTTTTCTTCGTTAAATTTGACTTTAGAATGAAAGACGAGAGGACATTAAAATTTAAAAAAAAACTAAAACTAGTAAAACTCCGTAAAACTCCGCACTGAACGTACCCGAACTGCTGATGAACAGCAGTCGATCTGCGCACGCAAGGAGGTGCTATTCCTATTCTTCTTCTGGAAAAACGAAAGAGAGCTTCAAAACAGACTGCAGCGCCATCTGAAGCAAAGAGCATACTTCCTGCGGACACTTTTTTGGCTGAGTGGCCCATCTTGTTATTCACTATCTTTGGCCGGGGGTAATAAGTAAAGACAAAAATACAACTATACTTTTCCAAGTATTTAGGTAATCGTGTCTAGACAAGTTGTGACTATTTAGCTGAGACTCAAACAAAAATTATTTGTAAAAGAGAGAGAGAGAGAGAGAGAGAGAGAGAGAGAGAGAGAGAGAGAGAGAGATAAATACCCAAATATGAGAATAAGAACAAAAATTAAGTGAAGTATTGGAGGAAAGTCAACTTTGCAGAAAATGTTAGTATTGGAAAATAAAAACACAAGAGTTCTAAAAAGGCAATTCAATTTACCAGATTTTTAGCATCTTTGAATTAAACCAATGAGGATAAATCAGGGTTGTCAGTTAGGATTTTGCAAAATCACTAGATAGATTTCATGAAAAACTTCTCTCTTTTTGTTAAAAAATCACTAGATTAATTTAAGACGCTTGCCCCCTACGAAAACTTATCAGTTTTGATAAACAAAACATTTTTCAAGGCCCAAGTCACTTGCTTTGGCAGCCCTGGGATAAATAACACCAATGATAGTACATAACAAGATGGGCCACTTCTCTCTTTGAGCCAATTAGAAAAGTGTCCTCAAAATTTGGTGGCGCCCTCTTCACAAAAGCGCACTCTTTGCGAACAGAGTTACCCTACTTGAGTTTTAAAAAATCAAAGTGAAACTAGCAAGTTTTGGGATAAATTTCGGAAGAACGCTTTTTAAAAATGATTACACTGACAAAAAACCTCTTCCGGAGGAAAAGGAGATGGTTTTCTTCGTTTAATTTGACTTTAGAATGAAGGGCGAGAGGTCATTAAAATTTAAAAAACCTAAGACTCCGCACTGAACGTACCCGAACCGCTGATGAACAGCAGTCGATCTGCGCACGCAAGGAGGTGCTATTTCTATTCTTCTTCTGGAAAAACGAAAGAGAGCTTCAAAACAGACTGCAGCGCCATCTGAAGCAAAGAGCATACTTCCTGCGGACACTTTTTTGGCTGAGTGGCCCATCTTGTCTTGTACTATCTTTGATAACACATAGGTATCGATGTTTAGAGCAGGTATCGGTAACGATACCGATACCTATAGGTATCCAATGATAGTACATAACAAGATGGGCCACTTCTCTCTTTGAGCCAATTAAAAAAGTGTCCTCAAAATTTGGTGGCGCCCTCTTCACAAAAGCGCACTCTTTGCGAACAGAGTTACCCTACTTGAGTTTTTAAAAATCAAAGTGAAACTAGCATGTTTTGGAATAAATTTCGGAAGAACGCTTTTTTAAAATGGTTACGCTGATAAAAAACCTCTTCCGGAGGAAAGGGTTATGGTTTTCTTCGTTTAATTTGACTTTAGAATGAAAGGCGAGAGGTCATTAAAATAAAAAAAACCTAAAACTACGCACTGAACGTACCCGAACTGCTGATGAACAGCAGTCGATCTGCGCACGCAAGGAGGTGCTATTCCTATTCTTCTTCTGGAAAAACGAAAGAGAGCTTCAAAACAGACTGCAGCGCCATCTGAAGCAAAGAGCATACTTCCTGCGGACACTTTTTTGGCTGAGTGGCCCATCTTGTTATGTACTATCATTGAGGTATCTAAGTATCGAGTATGGTATCGATACCTACCCATCACTACAAGGGGGTGTAATTCCTATTCTTCTTGAGATTAGGCCCTAGGCTAAGCTAGAATCATAGAGTGAACCACACACACAATAGCCTAGTTCTGCCCCAGACTACACACTACACTACATTAGATCTAGACCTAGATTCTAGAATCTAAATTCTCTAACACACAGCATTATGATGATGATGACCCTCTGTGTGACTCGGCAGTCGACAGCATGAGCAGCAGTGTGATGAAACAGCTGATCAGTATTAGTATCAGGACTCTGGACTCCCCCCTCCGCCACCTCCGCCTGCTGTCAACTTTGAGTTCACCAAAACAGCATTCTTCTTGTGATTACACAGCTAAATCTAGATTTAGACCATCTAGGTTTTCTGTGAGAACAAGAAACATGAGTACAAGAGCCAAAAAGTAAGGATTAAATAGTTGGAAGTGCCTATTTGCAACGCGGTGTTCCAATTAGACTTTTAGTGAAGTGCCAGTGCTATAAAACGCAGCGTTGCAATTAGCGCCAGATAAAACGCTGTATTGCCTTGTGTAAAATATCAAGCTTTATCTGCACTTCGTTATCGGTAGTTCTGATGGTCAAATGGACAGCGCGTCTGCGCTTGAAGTCAAACCATTTTTTTTTTGGAAGTGCCTATTTGCAACGCCGCGTTGCCATAGCGCCAGTGCTAAAAATAAAACACTCTATGTGTTAGCCTAGGCTACATCATGAAGCTTAATCTACCCTTCGTTGTTGGAAGTTCTGATGGCCAAAGTGACAGCGCGTCTGCGTTTGAAGCCAAACTATTATTTTACGAAGTGATTATTCGGACTCGAGTCCGAATATGAAAAAATGTTATTCGGACTCTGATTCTTGTCCAGCATGACATCACTTCCGACTTCCTGTGACTCGTGAATCCGGCTTCCTGTCCTGCCTCACTTGTGACTCGCCTCAAGCTGGGTAGAGACCGGGATCACTTCGGGCAGAAAGGCGTTTTGTGCAGGAGCCGAGTTTTAATCTTATGATGAATTTGAGGCCGGCCTGAAAAGTTATAGCACTTCAAATAAATGTTTATTTATCAAGAGGTCATCAGAAGCAATTAAAGATGGCTCGTTAGTATGTGTCGGGGTCGGATGGGCGGCCTGCACACGTGTGGCTGTGTGCATGTCGGGGAGGGTGGTGGGGGGGGCACTTTCGGTCCGGGCTTTGAACGTCGCATAAGCGTCGGTCTTTTTCCCCCCGGCCACTGATCATTATTACAATAATAAGCTAGTCTTGACGTAGATCTACGTAATGAATTGTGCGCTAGTCTATGAAATCAAAAGTTGCCGTATGCTCAGCTCTACACAGCAGCACAACTTTTTCTTGGTAAACAATCGATATGACACGTACAGGCTTGTGTATTTGAACGAATCAGACTTTTTTTTTTTTTTTTTACACAGCTCATAATATGCCAGGTGGTCTGCTAATCTTCAATTTTACCTTTTTCTACAACAAAGAAAGTGGGAAACGTGGGGGGGGGGGGGGGGCGTATCAATGAGACGGCGGGCATTGGATAGGCAGATAAGGTGTGGGGGAAACTAAAAAATGGCGGAAAATTGGAAGCACTGAACGTTAGATCTATAGAACGAAGACACTTCCTTTTTTCCGGACCCGAGTCCGAATAACATTTTTTTCATATTCGGACTCGAGTCCGAATAAGAATTTGGAGTCCGAATAACGACGGCCATTATTTTATGAGCGTGGGTTTGATCCCGGTCCTTATAGTATTTTTTTTTTTTCTTTTTTTTTCCGAAGTGGCTTGCCGTGCTTGGCTAGACTGCCAGTCTAGCCGTACTTAGATCTAGGTTTGGCCCTATCGACTCAAACCTGTTGAGTACACAGGGCTCATTAAAGATCTAGATCTAGATCTTGTAATTCAGGTTTAAAATTATAATGCTATCAGTAAGGCACCTTTTGGTTTTTTGTTTGAATACAAATACTTTAGGCATTGCAAACAAAAAATTTCATTTACATTTCAGCCATCATTATTATTAAGTACGGCTAGCCTGGCTGTCTAGCCGTCCTTAAGTACGGCTAGCCTCGTCGTCACGGCTAGCCAAGCAGTGTAGCCGTAGAGGAGCTCGAAAGTAGGCCTTAGTATAGCCTACATATATATTATATACTTTTCCTTAATAAAAATACCAATTAGGTCTGATTAAAGTTCAATACAGTGGAGTCCACTTATAACGAGTCTGGAAAAAATGAGAAGTCTGTTATAAAGGCACTATTCTAAATCCCCGTTTTTTTCTTCTCTTTACCTTTGTTAAACAAAATACTGCTATAGCGCTATCAGACACACTTGCGAGTCGGTTATAGCGGAATATTGCTGCTGCTGTGCACATGGTATATAGGCCAATACATAATGCAAGACCTCGCCAGTTGAGAAACTTGTTGCTAGTCTTGCGAACAAAGAATAGGAGAGCCCATGTGCGTCAACAATGAAGGGCGGAGCAACTGAGTAGGGAGGGTCTGGCATGCGCAGACAAGCAGAACGCATCGCGTGGTAGGCCAGTTTAGATTATCAAGGCCTGCCATGCCTCTCACTTCTCCGATGCGGGGATGGAGAGGTCACCGCAGTGTGATGGATGGAGCGAATGTGTGACGTGCGCAAGCAGACAATGCACCACAGGGTGGGATGGGGTGGGGGGAAAACACAACGGACGAGTTAGCCCAGAGCCCTTTCTTTCTGATCGCCAACACCGAGCTGTCAGTCCACATCGCTAGATCTAGCGCTAGAGAAACAAACCTGATTCGATTTTTGATCAAGTAATAGACCTAGGGGTCATGTTGAAATAAAATCATCATCACGGGGGATAGCAAAAGGAAAAACAGAACACCAAACTCAAAGATTAGGCCTACTTTACAGTTTCCCTTGAATTTATTACTGTACTGGATCCGGTATAGCGAGAATCCTGCTATAACGGACATTTTGCTTTAGTCCCCTCCCTCTCGTTATAACAGGATTCCATTGTAGTGACTTTCCTTGGTCTGTGAGTCTAATTCTTATTTTTTTAAAAACCCATATATTTTAGACTGGAGAAGAAAAAAAAAGGCCGGCACTATTTCTCCGAACGTTCGGGAAAATATAAAGCTTTGCACTATTTCTCCGAACACTCTGAAATCACATCCTTTCCCGCGAATTTTGGATATATAGATATATATTTATATTATTACCCTTCTCCCTCCGAGACCTAACATTGACAACACACTCTATGAAACATTACAGAAACTGCAGCAAACCTGCACTTATCACTACATGGCATTGGACAGAAGGGGGAGAGCCCAGCTGTTGCTGGATCGATAACAACAACAACAACATTTATATTATAGGCCTACCAAAGATTGTTCGTATACAATTTAAGGTTCAATCTGTCCAAAAAATGTCCGCAGTAAATATAAAGAAATGTTACAGTTCCAAACAGTTTTTCGCTACAGATATGATGTGTTGCCTATGAAGGGTGCTTCTCTTAAACTTTATGTGTTGTGTTCACTCTTGTGCTGTCTAGATCTAGATCTATGGAGGGTTATTGATAACAACGCATAGAACTAGCATATCTGTGCGTTTGTCGCGGCCGCGACTCAATCAATTAAGGCTCGATTTGTTTGCATTTTTTGGTCCCTAAATCGGGGAATAAAAGTCAAAAAAAAAAAGAAAAAGAAACCGAACATCTTTACTTTTGAAAGAAAGTTCACTTAGCTTCACTTTGTCTCTCTCACTTGTTGTCACCACGTTGATTTGTTGAATACGTTACATTATATACGATTTGTATTGCCGTTCCTCTTTTATTTTTCCCTCTTTGTGGTGTTTTATTTTGTTGGTCATGTAATTTTTTTTTCTTGTTATTGTCCTGATGTGTTGTTTTTTTATTAATTTTTTTGTTGTTGGGAAATTAGAGGGGGGGGGGGGATGTTGTATAGTGTAACCTAATTTAATTTGATGTTCCTACCTTCATTAGGACGTACACGATTCTCTCTACAATACGCAATTAAACAAAGCTCAACACCAGAGAACCCTGCACACAACTGTATTTTCAGAACTAACTCAGACACCATCATAAACAAATTCCAAAACAACGAAAAACTCACCAAACCGTTCAGCCTCAGAGTCCTTGAGGACCTTAAAAACATATATACTTTTCCAAACAAGACCTTCAACAATTTCTTTTCCCCGAACTCCCTCCGTGGCGTGGCACCTCACCAAGGCAAAAGTAGACACACAACTGACCACACACACCAAAGCAAGCACAAACACCAAAACATTTAAAGCAGCATACAACAAGAAACTTTTAGAAAAATATGGCGATGCGGAGCTAATCTTCACAAATGACCCTAAGTCGGACTCCGCTGTGGGCGCCGCTGCCTTATCCTCAAAACAGTACTCAGCAGAGGAGACTCTATCCATTTTCTCTGTGGAGGCCAGCCATTGACATGGCACTGGACTCCGTAGAAAGTTCTCCAAACAAATCTTTCCTTATCCTTTCTGACTCTTTGTCTTTCATCACCTCACTTACACAAACTACACACTCTTACTCCCCAAAATAGTTAGGTTGCAAAAAAAATACACGCTTTGGCTGAAACCAGGAAAAGTATCGTGTTCGCATGGCTACCTAGCCATGTGGGCGTCTGAGGAAACAAGCAAGTGGACCTCCTGGCAAAGGAATCCTTTTCCCTTATGTTGGGATCAATGACGAACACTCTCCCACAGACTGACGTTAACTTTAAAAATAAAGTAAAAAACTACACCTCCAGTCTGTGGGAGACTCATTGGAAAAAGCAACAAAACAATAAATTGTACAACATCAAACTGAAACTAGGTCCGCGAAATCCTTTGAGCCTGTCCAGAAGAGACAAAGTCATTTTTATTCGATTACGCATTGGACACACGTTCCTGACTCACAAATACCTCCTTCAGGGAGATGAGAAGCCATTTTGTGTTGGATGCGACACAGATCACATTTCAACAAAATGTGTAGACTTCGGAGAGACCCGAAGGAAAGGTTTTAGATGCAAAAAATTGCAAGATCTGTTTTCTGTCATAGAGCTTGCTGTTGAGCAGAGATTTGCGCTTTACCAATGCTATCTATTATGATTTTCAAATCAGCGGGGCGGGTGTTCTGATGTAGTTTCCTCCTTCTTTCCTAGGACTAGATCTATCAGACAATAAATTTGTGGGACGACATGGTGAAATCAGGTACTTGTCAATTTTTTGGGCATGTGGAGTTATTGGTATCATCTTGCTTTCAAAGAAAAAAATAGCCATCTGTCTTAAATAGAAATCAAGATATTTCTGATTGAAGGAGAGAGGACTCGCCTGGTTTCTGTAGTGAAGTTATATAGGGGACAAAATGTGCGTCAAAGTTACGAAACTCCAATAGTCAAAGAGTCCTTGTAAACTGAAAAATGACATATTTTGTGCCTTTAATCAATGTTTTTCAGTAAAATTCATATATGGAAATATAAATGTCTTTATATGGACGTAAAAGGGGTTGAGGTAAAAAACAAAAATTTGATAAAAATTGCCAAACTGGGAGAAAAATTGCCTGTTTCTCCGATTGCGTTATTTTGACGAGCGCCTGATTTCACCACGCTGCCTCACATTTAGTTTTTTATCGTCGCTCTGCTGATAAAATAACTCTGACTAGATCTATAATGACCAACTATTATGGTGCGTAATAAAATAGCCTAATTGTCATGAAAACCATTTCAAGGTCGATCCACAGGTCCTCGATAAACAAGAGGAGTCAGCGGTATGCATAGTAAAATACAGTAGGGCACCTTTAAAAGTCAATCATCTGTACAAATGGCCACTTCCCATTAATTCGTCTCTTTCATTTTAAAATATATACCCTGACACTGTCTAAGACAACCACCAGTCCAAATATGACCACTTAATTTTCTCCTTGACATTGGGTGGCCTTTTAAGACAGTTTTGACTAGTTACAAAATGGGTTAACTGTTGTGCCAGTGCATGGTAGCAAAATTATTGGCGGGATCTGGAAATCTTGTCTAAATGTACGAATTTCTCTTTAGATATATGTAACCTACGTATTTTGAACATTTGAAGAATGTGGAGAGGAAAATTTGGGAGCTGCAAATATGTTCACTATGAGGGGGTTTTGAATATTAGAAATGTGTGTATGCTAGATAGATCTATATGAGGCAGCATGGTGAAATCAGACGCTCGTCAAAATTATGAAACTGAAGGAATTGGCATTTTTCCACCAGCTCTAGTTTTGCAATTTTTATTGAATTTTTGTTTCTTGGCTTAACACCTTTTATATTAATTTAAAAACACATTTCTGTTTGGATTTTACTGAAAAACGTTGATTAGAGGCACAAATAATGTAAGTTTTCAGTTTCCACGGACTATCAAACTTTGTGACCATTTTCTCGATAATTCTACCTTTTAGACCAGGCGATCCCACCTTCTTTAATCTCAGTATAATTATGATTTTGACTTTTGTTCAAGATAGATGGGCATTTTTTTTACCGACACCAAGACAACTGACCAAGCTTTAAGATACCAATAACTCCACATGCCCAAAAACTGACAAGCACCTGATTCCACTGCTCAGTGACATATTATATAGGCCTACTTATTAAATTGAAGATTTTCCTACATTTTTAAGTTAGTTATTATTATTTAATTCTTTGGGTTTTTTTCCCAGGGACCTATCATTCTGGCAGGATAACTTCAAGCAATGGACAGTTAAGGATATTTCGGTCATCCAAGAACCTTACTCTGCCACGCTGAGGGTTCCTGGTTTGACTCCCGAGAGCTTCAACCGATATGGTGAAATTTGCTGAAAATTGTTCATCACTGTTAACACTTTTTGTTGTTCAGTCCACGAATGTCTTTGAGACACTTTTTTTCAGTTCTGCCATTGTTAACATTCTGTTGTACAGTGAGTCGCATGGACTTGGTCAGCTCGGCCAGAGAAAAACTTGCATTGTAATACACTAATAAACACACAAGGGACAAATGTCTGTAATAGTCTTTATTATAGTGTATGAGTGAGAACTTGTAAATTGCATTGTGAACAGAATGGCCACAACATTTGTCTCTTGCTTTGGTCACAACATTTGTCTCATGCTTTGATCACAACATTTGTCTCATGCTTTGATCACAACATTTGTCTCATGCTTTGGTCACAACATTTGTCTCATGCTTTGATCACAACATTTGTCTCTTGCTTTGATCACAACATTTGTCTCATGCTTTGGTCACAACATTTGTCTCATGCTTTGATCACAACATTTGTCTCTTGCTTTGATCACAACATTTGTCTCATGCTTTGGTCACAACATTTGTCTCATGCTTTGGTTTTCAAGATACCTAGGCCTTATGTTACAAAAGATTATTTTTTACCTTCACAACACCAGGCTATTTTTAGCCTTCATTTCAGCCTGTCTCAGGTTCATTATGTTGGAGTCCTTGGCTCCTCAAACCCAGCCAAAACTGATTGTTTTGGTAATCTTAGGAAGACTTAGAAAAAAATTCTATACTGCTTTCATTTGAAGTTTCAGAAAATAATGTGTGTAGAATATTTTTCAGAGACAAACATTTGGATAGATTACAATTAATTAAGTACCTGACTGGGTCTGAACGCTGTGGCCCTGTGGG